TCAGTCTATATCGTGCTTGGTATAGATAAGAGGGTCACCCGTGATTACTGTCATTAACTAGTGTTCTGTCTGTATTGTGTTTGGTATAGATAAGAGGGTCACCCGTGATTACTGTCATTAACTAGTGTTCAGTCTATATCGTGCTTGGTATAGATAAGAGGGTCACCCGTGATTACTGTCATTAACTAGTGTTCTGTCTGTATTGTGTTTGGTATAGATAAGAGGGTCACCTATGATTACGGTCATTCACTAGTGTTCTGTCTATATCGTGTTTGGTATAGATAAGGGGGTCACCTGTGATTACTGTCATTAACTAGTGTTCTGTCTGTATTGTGTTTGGTATAGGTAAGAGGGTCACCCGTGATTACAGTCATTAATTAGTGTTCTGTCTTTGTTACAGATGACCCATGTAATACACAGAAGACATCCAAGGACTTGAACGGATCTTTCCCGAATTCCAGCTCACAGGTTAGGCGTGGTAACACCAACTCAGAAGCGGACTGTGTGATAAACAGTACACCTTCAAAAACCCCGAAGAAAAAAAAAACGTTTCACGATAGCAAGGCAAGTAAGCCCCGGAGGGCGAGAACGGCCTTTACCTACGAACAACTGGTTGCTTTAGAGAATAAATTCAAGACGACCCGCTATCTGTCCGTCTGTGAACGACTTAACCTGGCCCTCTCTCTTAGGCTTACCGAGACGCAAGTGAAAATTTGGTTTCAAAACCGCCGAACGAAGTGGAAGAAACAGAATCCGGGGATGGATGCTAACAGCCCCACGATCCCTCCGTCGCAGTCTAACAACGGCCACTTCTCTGCTTACCCGAGCGTGTCGCCCTACCAGCCCCCGACCGCCGCCGGATTTCTCTACGGCTCTCAGCTTCCTTACCTCGCGGCGGCGGCGGCGGCAGCAGGGGCTACTCTACCGTATACCCTGTTGGCTCCCACGGCTCAACCTGGCGGTCACTCCTACTTTCACCATCACCACCTCGGCCACTCGTAATTCTAAAGCAGGGGAGAGATGGGGACTGACATAATAGGAACGATACGGTGTTACGGTGATTCTGTGCTAAGCCTACAGCCAAAGTGCAATGCGAGCTTCTGTAACTTCTGTAATATATATATATAAGAAGGTGTCTTCTTCCCGTTTAGAGTTTCAGAGGAAAGACTCGATAGAGTTAATGTAAACAGGTTAAAAGGTATAGGTCACAGGGGTCAGCAGCCCTTCATTTCGAGAGGAGCCACGATAAGTCTCCGCCACAATCAGGGGTTCGCTTCCCCCCCCC